GCCTCTGTGTTTCCAACATTACTTAATTCTGATAAAGAAATAGAAGCGTTTAGAACAGCACAATACAGCTATCACTCTGGCCATATCATTTTGTAAAAGAGCAAAGGGCTCCCAAAGGACCATTCTTGCCTATAACTGAGCTTCTTCCATCTGTGTGACTGCACAGAGAGCCACAAGGACACTGAGAAAACACAAAAAGAGACATGAGCAAACTGCTGCCAGGACAGGAAGGGCTCTCCCTGCTTTTGGCAAGTCTCACACTTCTCCTTTTCTGTACCTCTACAGGGAAAACAGAACTCATATCCAATCTCATGCAAAATAGCAGAACTTCCATGTTCTGCCACTGCCAGAGGGAGATAAGTGCCTAGATTTTACCTGCGGACAGCAAAACTATCTACTTGTCTATTATATATTTTAAGACAAATACTGATCTGCAAACAAACACCAAATGCTGCTGAAGCATAAAAATTAGAAGAGACACTGAAGGAAAATGGAAAATTTTTAAAGCTAGATTAATGTATGACACAAAGCTCTTTATGCCATCTGGTAATAAAAGCAATAAAGTCCAATGTGGAAGAGTGAATAAGTTCAAAAAATAATCAAGAATAAGAAACAGGCACATATATATATATATATAAGACAGCATCTGTTACAGAGAATTAATGGAAATCACATATCTCTCTTACTCAAGGAATAAGAAAGAACAGACTAACAGTCTGTGGAAGTGGACTATGCCAGGACATCTTAAAGCTGATAAATTCACATGATAAATCCAGTCTCCATCTGGCAAGTGAAAGAGCATTTCCCTGTTCTGGGGCTAGCCACTGACTGCGCAACTTTGCAGCCTCCTGTCACAGCTAGGTCTATCAGGAAGAGTAATAACAATGTAAGAATACAAGTGTGTAAATACCCATCAGCAACTAAGACGTGGTCTCCCAACAATCTGCTCTCTTGCTGCATCCATTAGGTATCCCTTTTACCCTAATTAGCGGGAGGATGGCTGCATATCTCTTCTCCAGCTATCCAACAGCAGTGACAAGGAAGCTATCCTGTGTCCTCTTCACAGCTAATGCAAAAGCTGTGTTTGGAGCCTTGCTAATGGCCTGTGATTGCAGGCTGGAGCGGAGTTTTGGGGAGAGGAGAGCTGCACAGGAGAGGAGGTGCTGGATTCACATCTGGTGGCTTGCATTGGAGCTCTAATTGAAAGCCTGACCAGGGTAGGATGTGGTTTCAAACAAGGACCTCTCAAATTAGAAGGACAAAAGTAGGCTGAAAGGGAGGAACGACGCTTTGGGTTTGTCTGTTGTCTCTTGCACATCTTTGGAGGTCTGGGGATTTCCTTTGAGTAGCTCCACAAAAGCAGCTTTCTTTGGAAAGGGCCATTCATCATATCTGGAGTTCTGCTTCCAAATATCACATGCATTTTCAAGAATGAAGAAACATATGGTCTGAATTGTAACAAATAAAAAGTTGTAAAACACCCCTTACTACATCTCCTATTTAAAACTGAAACAAGGCCTCTGACTCCCACAGGAGCTGCACAAATGAGAATAGACTGAGCATTATCTAGGCCTTTCTTGACCATTTTTTTTTTCCTGCTCGATTGCAGAAGGCATAATACACATGGCCCTGTACAGCTTTGCCATCATCCCTGTAGTTTGTCGCTGTTGTGACAAATTCAGATCATTTTTTATGCCTGTAACACAACTGTTGGATGACTATCTGTAGGGTCTGCACTTGCCGGTTATTACACAGTGTGACACAGCGCTACGCAGCATCTAATGAGAAAGACAGATGCCAGAAGCAGAGTGAAAAAGTGAAGACAGAGCACAGAGCCGTATAATAGAAGGAGCAGATATACAAAAGACCCATGAGGATGAAGACAAGTTTAAATATTATTTCCTTGTGTGTTACATGTATATTTCTCAGCAATTTTCCTTCCAAATGAAACAATAATTGTACTGAGGTGCTACGTCTGTAAATCAAACCTCTTGAGATTAAGCATGCCACAAAGAGCCTTGTAGGTGAATGAAACCTTGTGATGCTCAAGGAAGGCTGGCTCTTCCTTTCAGCATTTAGATGACCCTCTCTCTAAACTATGAGCAGCTTTTACTTTCAGTTTTACAGCATTAAACAGAAGAAATGAGTTTCAATTCAAATGTTAAAAATAAACTGTACGAGAGAGATTTTCTTAACCTCCGCACATAGACCGACCAGATTCCTGAAGAAAAATTCCACTCAAAACGCAGAATGCAGCCCTTTTATCTTAAATGTGCTGTGAAAGCAGGTCATCAGACAGAAAATAAAAAGCAGCTTAGTGTCCAGTGCCATGGGAGCACCGGCTTCTCTTAATCTGACAAAGAACTGAAGATCAAACATCTTGTATTTGATCTCATAAGAAAAATGTTAGTTAACAGAAATGTATACATTATAAGTAGAAAATATTCCCATAGGAGACACAGGACAACAGAACTGTCACAATATCAGCTGATACTAAGTCCCTGTTCACTTGGTTTACTTCCAAAAAAGACTCAGAGTGGAAAAACTCTCACCCTCCATTGATAATACATAGTTTGTTTAGTATTTCTATTCCTTCTCTTCTGCACAGAGTCTCACCATCTTTGAGTGTGACTCTGCGGAACAAATATGCAAACAAGGACATTCTTTATTTGTCTCTGGAAAACTGTATGCTCCAAGATTACATCTTAATATTGTCTTCTGAAAAAAAAAAAAAAAAACAAAAAAAAACAGGGTATTAAACTCAAAAATATCTATCACCATATCTTGACAACTTTGCAAGTACTGTCAAAAGGCAAGGGTCTTGCTGTATTCCTGCTAGGGCTCGCTTCAAATCCTCTGCCTCAAGTGAGAGTCAAAAAGGCTTTTGTTTTTTGTTTTCCTAAATGATTGTTTCATTCTTATTGCATCAGACTTATTTTTAGAATATTTGAATAGACGTTTAAGTTGTCAGTTACTACTGCATAAATAGACGTTGCTAGGAAGGAGTAGTAGCTGCTTCTTTAAGAAACAGTAGCAAAAGGGGATGAAGCAGCAGACAATATAATAGCAGAAAGAACACACTAAGAATAGCAGTTCTCTAATGCAGTATTTCAAAAATGTAGAAATGCCAAAGTTTAGATTTTTAATTAGAAAAATGCAGCAAATCTACCTGAAATTTGCTGAGTATGAGAAGGCATTTTCCATGCTACCGAAATTCATCCCTTTCTCGTTTTACATCTCTTTAAGTTCTTACTTAACAGTTGTTAAGTTTCTTAAGGATATCTGCCTACTCCAGATCAATCCTGAGTATCCAAGAATCTCACTCAGAACCACATCAAAGATAGTTAGCAATACCATAAGATCCCTATTGGTAGAGAGAATTTGTATTTATGCATAACACTTATTTAGGGAGAGATTTGCCAGAAGAAGGGTTTGGTTTCTTTTATTTATTTAAATCTGCAAGTTGCCAAACGAGAAGACTGATGCACAGAATTTGGTTTATGGGACTGTAGTCCTTGCTGGGAGCTCTCCTGAAGCCCTGTCTCAGAGGCCATGTTCAGTGGTCTCACAGGTGATCCCAGAATGCTATATTCAGTTCCATTCCAAGCACCAGGCAGTGCTTTAAACCCCACCTACTAAGAAAGCCTCCAGCAGCTGCTTAATGTTGTGATGATTATTCTACTGATGAGATCACTTCAGGAGGCTGGTTACCGCACACTGTGGCTTCAGTCACTGGGGAAGATATTAGAACAGCAGAGCTCCTCTGGCAAAATAAGAGGCTTAGAACTCATCCACATAGGGGGAAAATACAGGACAATCTATCTGCCAAGCTTTCCTTTACTACTTTCCTTTATGGAAGTCTCTGAAAGCTAAAAGAACTAGAGAAAGGCCTGAGGAGATGAAGTCATGACACGTACCCACCCTTTTGTCCTGCTGGTCCAAGAGAAAACAGCAGCCATCGGCTCCAGCTGCAGCCACACTCATATAGCACCTCAGGTCAGGGCTGCTATCTTGCCTGATCTGTTCAGCTTCTCCCTTCAGTACCAGAGGTACCTGAGGGGAGATTACAGGTGTTGGGATGTGACAGGAATACCTGGCACTCAGGTCAAATTATCCATCAAAAGCAGATCTTTCGGTGCACTTGAGAGAGGCTGCAGGGATCCAAAAGGGCTGAGGAGGCCTGCTCCACCATCCCAGCCCTCAGCCCTCCTGCCTATAAACACTCCTGAGCATCCCTGAGGCCAAGGCAGTGCAGATGGCAAGGGATGTATTTGCTCAAAACAGACTCAGGTTGACTGTTTCTAAAATGTACTGCACTTTTCTTTCAATGTGGCAAGGCTCAGAAATATCAAAATTAGACTTCACAAGAGTATAAAAAGCTTCCTGCTAACATAACATGCAAATGGACTGTCACACTCGCGATCTTGGACAGCAACAAAATTAGACAGCAATAGCAAACAGCAGAGAAAATTGCAGCTGAAAAATAGCAACATTATCCTCTTTCAATAATTGTTAAAATGAACATTTCAAAAAGCTGAAAAGATGTGAGCCCAGATGCTGTTGCCGTATGTCTTATGCAGCTCATGATTACGAACAAACAACAGAATACGTATAAGGGAATCTAAAATGGTATGGATATGAGCCCAGCTGGTGTCCCCATATGCCTTACGAATTCCTCTTTTAGGAACACCGCAGCATATACATTAGAGATGCTTATCTTATTTATAAATAGAGTGGAACTGTTTAGCTGAAGCACATATAGAAAGATCCATAGGGATCATAAAAACAAAAGGTCCACAATGATCATAGAAACAGATGCGCTCAAACCCACTGAAATAGTTCAAATACCAAATTTTTACTGGGAACAACTTTGAGCTAGAATCTGGTCTGAGCAAGGCACGATGCTTGTTTTCTTCACTGGGATTTTTCTAAAAGACAACCATAAAAAAAGCTATGTTAGTTAGAAAATACCGACTTACTTTTGTTTCGATACACTGTTCCTATTGAAAGTCCAGAGAGGAAGAGTGAATGCCCAAGCTCAAGAGCAGCGGAGCCACTGCAACCGTGGGAGAGGTGAACTCTTGCCTCTTCTACAAATCACTCAAGGCAAGATCTGGAGCTTGACCTGCCCACCTCCTGGAGGGAGTCCTTCATCAACAGGCAGAAGACTCTTCTGCAATACAGCTCTTCCACTCCTGCTTTTCAGTGTCACCAGAACAACCTCTAAGGGAAGGCAACTGAGAACTCTTGGTTAATCATGAAAATACAGCACCAAATGCAGTTGTCCTTTAAAACCATCATTTCATTGTATGTATGCTATGAACATATATCTACAGCAGATATCTAAAATAAATACACTGCATATGATTGAAAAATTATTTTATTTAAAAATACATTATACAGCAGAGTGTCTCTCTTTTTGTTTTCTCACTGCTGGTTCACAGAGATAATATGATAAATTTAACCCAAATATTTGACTGGGAAAGATCCTGAGAGAGAAAGAGACCAGTTACAAGTTGATGATATACAGTACAGTGGAAAAGAGTCATCTCTTTTAACATAAAAGAATCTCTTGGTAATCTTATAAATCAGATATTAAAAAAATGTAGATTTGCTACCATGCAAAAATGAGTGAGAATTTCTTTTAAATCTACACACAGAGATCATTAGTATCTTGGACCCTAAAAAGCTATACTAATAAGAGAAGGGTAGGTGTGCCTAACATGGTGATACAAACTTTGGACCTACTACAATTTTGTAAACACATTTGGTAGCCTAATAAAGGTGGATTTTCAATCACCTAAGTAACACTATTGTAGCTAAGGGCTCTATTCTAGGACTTCTTTCCCTGCTGATATATTTCTTTATTCTCTAATTCTCAGCTTAGTATGATGACTTCATGGGATATACTGCTCTACTGCACTCAAAGAAGACTTGGCTTTGCCCTGCTTGCCAAGCAATATTTAGGTAGCTGCATTTAATGAAAAGAGAAGTTAAAATGAAAATGCACGATAACTATGCGGGAATGCAATAAAATTCAACATAGAAAAATATATATCCAATTCTACAGTTATGCTTTAAATATCTTCTACCAGTGATTAATGCAGAGGAAATGCAGTGAATTATGGAAAACTTAAGGCCTAGAATTCTGTACTCGTTTCAAGGACCACACTGAACTTCTCTATCTTAAATGTGTCTATAGTGCTAGTGTTACAACTGCAGTTGCCAGAGGAAAACATTCTGGCAGTTAGGACTATCTTCAGCATCTACAATACTTCACTATGAATAGTCAAGTGAGGCTGTCTTTTAAAGGGGAGGCTCAATTTGATTTTTCACAGTGATAACAGCGATATAAGAACATCACTCGAAGTTGAAGGAAAAAATCCTGTCAGCAACGGAGAGTCTGACAGAGGATTTTTTGCAAGAACATGGCCCTGAAAAGGAAACAGGGATAGAGATGATTCCTAGAGATAAATTCTGCCTGTCTCGGTCACTCCAGTTGAAGTAAATTAATGCAGCCATTGCTTATTTCCATAAATGTTCCAACAGGAGGGCAGAAACACACGTGCACTTTTCCTCACTATATCAGTGACCCTCTTCCTGTCTTAGCACTCCATTCTCCCAGCATAATATCTGGGTGTACAACAAATATGAGAAGATGCAGGGCTCCTTCAGTACCTTGTTTAAATGATCTGCGATAGCAGGGCTTCCCATCAGATATGCTGAGCTAAGAATGGAGCCCTTAACCTCTCATGGGATAGCATTAGTAATAAAGAATATATAAATGATCGAAATTTCTATATAATTTTCATTTCTTTTAACCTAGATACATATATATCATTCAAGACATTCAAGAACTACAAATCAACAATTCAACTACAATTATGTCAGGAAAATATCCAAATAAATAAACTTTTAATTATGATACAATACTTATTACAGTAAAAATTGGCATTTTTTTTCTCTTCAAAAGCAGAAGCACCAGTTTTACATATAACATTGTTTGAATGATATCTTACATGGAATACAGCGTAATACAATGTGCAAACAGCATTTTCATACAGAAGGTAATATTTTTTCTAGTTTTTATACACTAAAACTGCCTCAAATGGAAACAAATTCATGCTGAATTAAAAATGCAGATTTTAAAAATCAGTTTCAAATCAAAATATGGAGTACTACTGGAATAGGTACATGAACCATTAAAAAACAACAAGAAGCCAAAATAGAGGGTAGTGTCAGGTAAAGGTAATTAGTGCTTAGTTTGTCCCATTCCATCAAAAAGTAAACAGTTAATATTTTTGCTAGAAAGTAAAGTGACGTTCTAATATTTAAGAAATCTTCAAAATGTAGGTATCATTTTAACGATGTAAAAATCAAGTCAGAAAGAGGACTTTAAAAATTTCTTGATTTTGTTACACTGCAATTATCGTGAGTGGGCTGTGAAAAGAGATGAAGTCCAATGGAGTGAATATACCTCAGCATCAACATCATGTGACTTCTGCAAAGGCCGTGATGTGGTTCTACAAGTTAAAGGAAAAACAAAGAAATAAAAACCCAGAAACCACACATGTAGACATCAGTCACCACTGTGAAAACTGTAGCATCTTCTGTGTTAGTGACAGCCTCATGCCTGCCGTGTACTGCAGGCAAATGTAAATAAAGCTGGTTATCATTGTAGTGCTCTCACTCAATTCCACAGCAAATTCTGGTCAAAAGCTGGATAACTGTATATGTAACTGTATTGAAGAAAGCACTAAGATGTAAGGGTTCAACAATATTTTAGTTTTATACATATTTTTAAAATAATGTGAAAAATTGAACTCGCTGTAATTTTATTCTTCCCTTATTCGTAGTTTAAAACAAAATGCCTAGAAATGGACAGTTTCTAGCAGGCTATAATATTCTATTTTGGTGTTAAAACAATTTTAATGCTCTATGTTTTTTAAAAAAAATGAATTGTTCCCCATGAGTTTGATGGCACAGAAGCAAGTAGTGACATGGGACAATTTAATGGCATTCAGCAGTTGAGAACTTGTGTTCCAAATTTGTTCTTCTGAATCACTAGCGTCCTCTTCACTTGCAATGCTAGCTTCCTGTTTCCTTCACCAGAACAATCCTTAGGAACAAAATGTGTCTCAGGATACAACGCAGAACTCTATGCAGTAAAACTGCAGAATCTTAGAGAGCTCTGCTACTTTTTCTTGCTCTAACCTAAGCAAATGCCTCTGTTGACATTTCGGAGGAAGAGACTTGAATGTAAGGTCTGAGCCAGCTGAAGAGAAGGCAGGGACTAGGTAATTCCTAGAGAGTGGGATGCATCTCCATTTTCTTGCTTAAGGGAAGTTGCTCTAAGTCCTTCAGCAACTCCTTACCACACACCATAGAAAGTGCTGGAGGGAAACTGACCACCACAGAAGTTTCTCTTTCTTAGTTCTTCTTTAAACTCCCTGGATATTTGTCTGTCAGTCTTCAAAGAACGAGAGGAAAGAAAATGAGCATCTTCAATTTTCACACTACAGAAAGGAATCTCTCTTCCTCATGCCTTCCCATGGCTGTATGGGTTATAGGATGAGCATTTTTTTTCTTTTTTTCCTTTGTATACTAAGGATTTTAGCTATAGCAACGTCCTTGCTGCATTTTGTGACAGTCTCAATGGGTGAGGAACACCAAACAATATGCATCTATGCACATTTTTTTCCAAAACAGAACTTTCTTTTTTAAAATAAGCAGCAATGATTAAGCCACAGCTAGCAGACATTTTTAAAGTGTGAGGAAAGAAAACAATCAGCATGCAACTTCCTGTGAAAATGTTTTCAGTAAACAATATTAGCCATTAGTCATTGTTTACAGATTTGGATTCTGAAGCATAAAAGCAAAGTCAGATTTCCTAATTGAAAAATAAAATACAAGCATTTCAAAGAATTTCAGTTGTTGGTCTGCTTTCAGCACAGCAAAAAGAATGTGCTGGGCAACCTCAACGAGCCTGGAGTTACTGTGAGGCTATTATTAAGTTTGGCATTTTTCATTGTTTAGATCTGAAAATTATCCTGACAACTTAAGTCAGCATCATACCAAAATTACTCTCTTTTTTTTTTTTTTTAAGCAAAATAGTTGAAAAATATGGAATTGAAGAAAAAATGTGTTTTGATCATTATTTATTCTAATCAATTATTTCACTTCCTACTACACAATACTCCTTTCTCTAAGTGGCACACATTTTCCAGTGATGCAGAGAACCAAGTAGTATTTCAAGTGCTATTAACTCAGGATCTGGTAGCTATTACTCGAGAAAGGTGGATGTGGCACTCCTGCCAGCTATACCTCCAAAATGAGCCAGTCACCATTTGGAAGCATATGCAGAACACAGAACAGAATCACACAGAAAAAAAATCCCCATTCCTCAGTAAATCCTCAGGGAGAAATGCTAAGCTCCCAGTTGGAGAGCAATTGATTTGGACTGTAGTGAAGACTTGTTGATTCATTTCCAACGGATTAAGCAAGATGATGCATAACTAGGTCAAAAGTAATGACTCCGTAATGGTGAGAATCACTGGTACTGATTCATGCAACTGTCTGGTTATTCGTGTCTTTTCACATGCTTCTCAGCAAAACCATAAACAAGCTTTTCTGAGACAGTTCACACACACACACAAAACAACAAAGTATCCTTCTATGAAAAATTTCAGTGTGAGATACTAACCATCACCAGCCAAAGAGTCACACAGGTGCAAGAGACAAGCCAAAAAGCATGCACAAGACATTGGCTTCTCAACTCTGTGGGAACCTACAGCACTCAGAAGAAGAGCTTGCTGAGGGTCTGCTTAGCAGATACAGTTTCACAGATAGACATGTCAGATTTTGTATTGTTTGTTCTAAACCGACAGCATCAGCTTGGTGTCAGCACTGCAAACAAAGCATCCTTCATAACCATGCTCCCACACCACTAGTAGAAAGATGAAAGTCTAAAAGGCCAAGCCTTGAGTGCAGGTTTCTGGGGGAAAATTATCCATATCTGTATATCTTAAGATTTTAATTAATTTCTATTTACAAGCTATTCTAAAAAGTTAAAGAATTGAAAAGAAAAACCATAGTAAGTTTCTTACTGGTTTGTGACTTTCATTGTACATATTTAATATTTTTAATCTGTTTTCTTTCTTTCTCTTGTGCACTCATTAATACAATTATAAATATTTGTAGCAGTCATCATCTTAAAGATTTTTCCAATTTCAAAAACAGGATTTTGAAAAGTTGCCTGTAGTCCTTCATACAATGGTGTTTTTTTAATTCAAAAAATAGTACAGTATTGCTTCTGGCAAAAAGTAACTATAGATTAGTTACTCTAAAGATCTTCCTGCTCAGCAAAGCATGTTTTATGCTTTTGCTGAGCAAGTCACATTTTTAGAGAAAATAATGAATTCAAAGTGAAAGTCCTCTTTGAAAAGATGGCAGACCTGCACAGAACGCTGCCAGCACACTGCATCTGCCTCTGCTTTAAGTCCAGACACAAACACTTCAGTGCACTCCTGTGCACATACGTTTATTGCCTTATGTGCAGGTGGTCTAAACGGTCCATTCCTGAGATCCAGGAGAAGAACCTAATGAGGCGTGCTTTGAGTGAGCTTTGTTGCAAGGGATCTTCTTGGTTGTTACTAATCCTTTGATTCTTTAACACCTACAACATGCATATTTGAGGGTCACTCTGAATATATTGTTCCTTTTTCTATGTCTAAATACTATTCCATGTGAAAGTTAGATATTGTGATCACAGTATGCATTCAAAAACAAATATTTCTTTTATAATCCCCTAATATAAATAGATTGAATCAGAAAAGTAGGATATGAATGCCAATTGAAGTGTTTAACACTGGAACAAAATTGCTTAGAGTCTTTTTGTGTTGAAACAGTGTTGTACATTGTCTCCTTTAACACTGTGTTGTTAAAGAGAACCAATATCACCACAGATATCAGAAAACCAGCCACAAGCTCATGTCAGCACATGGGCTCTCGTCAAGCTGTGCTGGAAACACACATGCACATACTATAACAGCCTGTATGGATATCTGTGCACTCTCGTGGATGTCAACACAACAGTATTTGGATACTTCTGAACTAAAACATCTTAAAGTAGCAGAACTAGACACAAGTCTTCTCTCCCATTCTCTCATAGCACGATGACCTAAAACATCTTTGTGTTTTGATTCAGCCTGCGAGCTTGGTGACAAGGCATCAGCCTCACCAGAGAGCCCGGGGACCAGGCCCAGGGATCAGCCATCCTGTGCACACAGAGCACCACTGACAGACTCCTTAGTACCACAGAGCTGAAGACCTCTGTATCTCACGATAAATCAAGGAGGAGTAAACAGAAAAAAAAACATTACATTTGAAACACAGAAGGGAAAAATCTTCCTCAGTCTTAAAACACAATCAGAAACTTAAGAGGAATGCATGTCTATATCTATATTTGCTATTGTTAAAATGTTTCATTTCCACCATTACCTTAAGCAAAACACAGCAGAACAAATGTCAAACTCAACAAGACTTCTGAAACAATTAGCCCTAGCAGTTACTGGTTATTGGTATGAGAGCCATCAAGAAGGTCACATTGAACGAAATTCCAAATACTTACCATCATCAAAACCTGAAGCCATGCTTCAGAGAAAAAAAAAAAAAAAGAAAGAAAAAAAAAAAGGGCAAACTAAACCACCACTGCCACAGCTGGCCCATCTGTAAAGGTAAAGACTGCAAATTACCTATTTCTATCTCAGTCAGCTAGAGAGCCAGTCCCACTGGTGAAATACAAGCACTGCAACAAAGAACTGCGTTTGGGGACGTGGCTTGGACATTGCCAATAGAAGAAACAATGCAAAGGAATGCCAGGCAGATGCTCTGGATATGAATTCTGCTCAGCAGCTAAACAGAGCAGTGTGCAAATAATACTGAGCAGATGCAGAGCCCTGATGATCAGACATAGAAAACATCCCATTGGAGATGAACTACAGTGCCTATCCTAACCCAACACTTTCTTCTAAAACCTATATAACCTATTTTATCTACTGCCTCAGTTCTTCCTCAAATGCTCCATATTTCCCTTGTATTTGATTTTTCAAAGCTACAATACCTCCATAAAAAGCCTAGCAGGGTCAGCAGCCACTACAAGACCATGTACCAGCCCTCTGTAAATCCTGCCCAATTTCAGGTGACTTTGAGCATGAAATAATAAGGTGTGACTCCCCCTCCAAAGAGGAAAAAAGTTTGTGACTGTATTGATTGAACTTCAAACTTTTCTGAGTGCCACCCAGAATATCCTTATTTCCCAGGAACTCTTGCAACAGAAAAAAAAAAAAGTAAAGAAAGAAAAAAGAAAAACCATGACTGTGGTGGAACGTGGGCCTCCCATCTGTAGCAGAGTGCCAGCTGACTGAAACACAAATTGCCTTATAAGAGATGATGAAGGTCAGAGACAGAAGAGAAAAAGGAACAGATGGGTGAGTGATGAGGTTTCTTGGCTTTCACTCTTTTCATTAATTCTAAGGATGAATGTATTTAAGGTGAAAGCAATAAGTCTGAAGTCTGCACTGCTGAGCCAGCTCTGGCAAGGTACTTCCAGGAGACACTCTGCAACTATGTTTTATTTGAGTGCATAAGATGTGGGTTCCTCTGCAGAACAACTCAATCTTAACTTAAACAACTTAATTGCATACACTGCAATTGAACAAGCGGCATGCAAAGAGTGATCTACTCTTGTCACTGACCAGCAGAATATAATTCAGAATGCTCCAAGTACACATGTTCCTGCTTAAGCGTACTTCATAGATGATTCCTGACCTCCTCCAGAACTCAGACAGTGATAGCACAGAGAGCATACCAAGCACATTCATTCTTCAGCAGGAAAACAACACTGCAACAGATGAGTAGCAGACCTTGAAACACAAAATGAGGTGTGCTTCCAGGTCTGTTTGATGGACCACTTGCTTATTCATTTATGACTGACTTTCAAACAAAATAGCAAAGAGAGAGGTCCCATCTGGTATGCATTTCTAATGAAGTTATTCTTTAGGGCAGCATCTTTGAATAGCTCACTTCCAAGTGTCCATATCATTGTTATTTTTAAATAGTGGTAACAGAGGAGCAGCTCTGCTTCATTCCAGGACTGCCTTAGCCCATGACTTCAGCCCTAACTTCAGGCAGTCTTAACTCTTAGTAGCTAATTTATGATAGGATAATATAGTATTAATATAGCTAATAGTAGCTAATTTTAATATTGTTACAGAAGCTCTCAGACTGAGAATAGAGAAAAACAAATATAAAATAAGCCAAATAGGACTGTTTATGAATTCAGATTCTAAAACTAGAACAGCACCAATTGAGAAGCAGCAAAAAGTAATTTGCACATGGTTAGAGTAGGTAAAAGACAAGTAACACACAAATCATCCAGTGCCTCTCTCTAGAGGAAAATAAAGAACAAAAATAAGAATATAGTTAAAAAGCAAAGACCAACTTTTGAATTCTTGAAGTGATGGTAGTTAATCAGGATGGCTCAGTTTAGACTCTACTTCCACGTAAGTATTATTCTTAGTGCCTTTTATTTAACAGGTTCTGGCTTCTGTACAAACCTTTAGACCAGACATTTAAACAAATAAACAAACACCTCACCACTTGCAGCACTCAGATAAAAGCAGATTTTTCATCAATTATTTGCTAAGTCCAGTTCAAGCTTTCTATAGGTGGAAACAGAAGAAAAGCATTTCCGAAACACCGCATGTAATCATCCTCCCATTTCATCTTCTCGGTCTGGAGAGAACAAAGACTTTGCAACAGAAGGAAAGACGAACCCATACACTAAGAACTCATCAGCTATAACACCTTGCTGGCACTTCCCTCCCTGATTTAAGTGAGAAGTCCCATGACAGCAACAGCTACCCTCCACTGTCACAGGAGCCCAGAGAGTTCAGAGGGAAAGACTCCCATTCATATAATAGAGTTCTGGGAAGTTCACAAACATTATTTCTGCTGCCTCCCTCCTGTTGTTTTCCCCACATCATTTCATCTTTCCTAGGCCTAGTATTTGAAAAAGAAAACAGTTTGTCATGGATGAGAAAGTGTCAAATTAGGTAGAAACACTAAGTTAACATTAGGTTTTAATCCTCAGGATAAAAATAAAATAAATTTCAGCAGCCAAACACTAGAGCTCTTATAAGGAGAATTTGCAGAGAATGTATACTTTTGATCTATGATGGCTTTTGAGCTACACAAACGGTTTTTATTGTAGGAAAGCCTACCACATAAATAAGACATGCTTATTAATATGGTATGTCCTAAGCCAACTGACATCTTGTTTTGTTTTGACATTTTACAGAGAGTTTGCTGAATGGATTATTTTGAAGATACACATTCATCATCTAAATGCTTGTTCTTGTTCAAGCAAATGATACTGTGACCTCCTTATGACAAAATGCCAGTAGAAGTAGCTTAGACACATTTGGTTCAAAAAGACACGCTGGATTATTCTGAAAAGAAATCTTTCCCTCCAAGCAAATAAATGAAAAACCTATTGCTGGCAGCAATTCTCAGTAAAAGACAACTTCTGCCCCTTTCAAGTGACAAGCACAGACTAGGAAGTGGTTAAAAACATTTATTCTTACAACTGATTGGAGAAAATGTCAGCAGTAATAAGGATTTAAAAGAATGCCAAGGAAACACACTTTTGGTGACCTAAAATGTTTAAGATTGTTTACTACCTTCAAGCATGGGTATAACAAAAGAGATTTTAATAAGTAATGACAGAAAGTGATTATAAATTAACACTGCTTTAAAACTTTGTTTGTAGCTCTAACTTTACTTCCGGTAAAAATGCCTGAAATGTTTTCTTTATTTGGATATTATCTTTTCTCAGTGACTGCTTGCTCTCAGTATTATTTAGACAGAACCTTGCCTACCACTTGCATCACTTTGCAAAGCCAGGTTTTTTTTTACTACTAGAAACAAAACCAAAACATTTAATCACACTGCAGTAGTTTCTCGTGCCCAAGAGACTACTGCTAGCATGTTGAAGTACAAAATCACATTTTTTAAATAATATTTTTAAGAAAGCGAGACATTACCTTTTCTAAAGGACTTTCTACTCGAGGTATGCTGATCATGGGCATCTGGGCCAGATTATCCGTATGAGAATGTTCATGTTCTGGCTGACGTCCCCTGAAATTATTTACCACGCAAACAACCTAGAAGGGATTAGAAGATAAACAGAATTGCTAAGGAACAACAGAGCTTTGATCCTGACACCCACAATTAGGAGGAACTGACACTAGCTTTAGTCACTGCTTACAGCAGAAATATAAAAACGTGGAAACCCTTGATACTACAAAACAATAGATTTTTAAGCAGTTTTTTTAATACATGCATCATCTAAAAACAAGAAAGCTCTCTTATCTAAAAGCAAATCCACTACCCAATCTAAACAATATAATAATAATTAGCATTAGTGTCGTGAATTAATGCCACAGAAGCAGAGAATCAGAGGCTGGACAGGACTTCTAGAAATCATCGAGTCCAACCCTCCTGCAGCAGGTCACACAGCTAGGCATCCAGGAAGGATTCAAATATCTCCAAAGAAAAACTCCACAACCTCTCCAGGTAACCTGTTCCAGTACTCCATCACCCTCAGAGTAAAGAAGACTTGCCTCACGTTCATGTGGAACTCCCTGTGTTTCAGTTTGGGTCCATTACCCTTGTCCTGTCACTAGGCAGCACCAGAAAGAGCCTGGCCCCATCCAATTGACTGCATCTTTCTGATATTTATCAGCATTGATAAGATCCCCACTCAGTCTTGTCTTCTGCAGGCTGAACAGCCCCAGGACTCAGTCTTTCCTTATAAGGGAGTGATGCCCAGGGTATATATGAAATATGTGGCAATCTTATAGTCCTACAAAGAGCTAACGCCATGTAAGTTTTGAGCAGCAAAGAATTTCTCAAGCAGAGTAAGAAAGGGAGGAAAAGAAGGCAAGGATTGCCCCCAGGTTTGAACTAAACTCTAAACTTGCTCAGGGCAGCAGCAGTGTAGCAGTGAGACTCACACAGGCATTTAGGAAAGTGGCGTGCAATATTCTTTTGCTTGGGGGGGGAAGGGGGTTCTACTAATTCAGACACTCAACTAAGGCAGTTTTTTCCAATTATATTGTCTGTAAAACACAACTAAATTTGATGCCATCCTATTTAGAGAAGTTTATGCAACACAATCAAAAAATATAAGAAAAAGTTCTGGAACAGACTTCTTGTCTACTCTCTTTTCTTTCATGACTTTAGGGGCAAAAACACAGTACAAAAAACTTAAGAGCACACAATACTACACCAGGACACCTTGTGTAGAAAGGAATGTTTGGAAACACAAGCAAGTATGTTTTAAAGGAGACTTAAAGCTGCCTTCACATTTATCAGAAGAGTGAAAAAGTCCACCTCAGTTATCCTGTGCAAGCTTGAGATTTAAGATCTTGAGATCCCAGAATCAATATCAAAAGTATTTTCACAGGAAAAAAATCAGTTATTTTTAGTACTAATACAAGCTGCCAGGCAGACAAACTTAAAGGCAGTAAACAGCAATGACTACATTATGCTGCAGTTTTACACTGAAATTACTGGTGAAGGTGATTAATACATTAATGGCAGCTTTCTGATGCAGACACTGGTCATTAACAACATGGACTACAGATTCAGTACTGGAACACAACTCCAGAAAAATGAGAAGACTAAACAAGAATTTTTGACTGGATAAAATGCAATTTCAATTTAAACTTGAATTACTATGAAAAAAAATAAAAAAAATCAGAGGGGGCTACTTCAGAGCCAGAAAATAAATGCTACTCATTCTTTGAGCAGTGTAGGCATCCCTCCACAGCATATAATACTTTAAAATAGGAATAGTTATTATTCTAAGACATATGTACTTGTTTAATGTGGGGCTTAATGTAAAATAAATTAGTGGATGAAGACCTACAGTTTGGTTTATAAGGGAATCAAAATAATAATTTGATCGATTCTTTTTTTTATTTGACATTTCTGAGTGTACGTAAATACACCTAAGGAAACTGATAATTAAAAAAAAGTAGAAACACCTTGTGGACATTTGTCTGAGAAGTCAAGTCTACCAACACGAGCTAGGAGATACAAACTAGTATATTGATATTTTTCAAAAAATAAAGTGACAAATACACACTTACCAAAAATACTGCTATAGATATTCCAATTATAAATCCTGCTATTACATCTGACCAGTGATTTCGATACTCTGCTACTCTGTTGATTCCAGTAAGGAAAGCCAAGCACATTAAGCCCAAACACAGAACAGGTTTTGCAAGCCTTGTTCCTCTGGCTTTTACTGTGCTGGTGATATACATCTGAAAATCAGAAAAGAAGCAAGTTTAATACCAATGTGTAATACATCCCACTAACTGGTGAGCAGAATATAGAGAAATATTAGAGGTTTGAATAGACCATGCATCTTGGGGTTTGTATTTATTTATTTATTTTGACGACCCTATCCTATCAAACTATTTATTTATGCAGAGATGTAAATAGAGGGACTACTTTTTCACTGCCTAGTGTTGGCAGTGATAGAAAAATCCTGACCTGACACGGGCTACATCAGACCCTTGTTTTATTAGCAAATGCCTTTCCTCCTCACGTGCAGCTTCTCCATGTGATTAGCTTGAGACTTACCAAAATGCAGTGAAAAATGAACTAGATGTCAATATCTGCTTTTAAAAATGAAATGTAGCACTTTCAACCAGTGCTTGACCAATACATCCCCATACTTCATGGAAGCTATCTGAGGATATTTAGTACCAATTCCCCACAGTACACAAAACCAACCCAGATGTAGGAGTTTTTTATACATCCTCCAAGAAACTGAGATCTCTACCTCTGCCCTGCTTGCAGTCTTAGGGTCTGCAAGTACTACTGGATTAAATGCAATGCATGGAGGTGCAGCAGCTCTTTTGCCCCAAGGTTAGGTGCATTGCAGAGCAGGGTCTAAGCCAGTGCTTTCCAAGCTCTGACTGGCCAATGGAGGAAATGAATTTCAAAACTCTGAGCTTCCATTCTCTTGTTTATATTCAATATTGACATTAAGGCTGTTTTAAAGTTCCGCTCTATAAAATAACACTTCAACTAAATAGGCTTTTGAGGAAAATTAGTATTTATATTCCACAGCTTCTGCAGCTAACCCCCTGAAGTCCTTAAGCTTCATGTTTAGGTAAAGTATTATAGTTCTAAAAAAGGAAGAATTAAAGTTTCTTTGTGAGGTTTCCCTTGAAACTCAAAGCCTGTAGTGTCACCATTTTGGACTTGAAAGGTGAAACAGATGAGTCTGCACTAACAAACTGGTACTTCCTTGGTTAACAAACAGGCAATCCTTTATACTGTCTGAAATTTCACTTGAATTTCCTTAGCAACAATTTATGCACTAGCGCAATAATTTAGTCAAGGATTAGTTACACTCAGAGTAAATCAATCAAATTAAATGAAGGAAGTACTGGTCAGATCTTGTCTGAAAAGAACATCTGCCAGCTGTTTTGTTCAAAATACTAGGGAAATATTCATGGCAGAAAGAAAGAATCACAGTGTAACCAGGTAACTTAAAATCACAGCAGCATACTGCAACACATCACCAATGGACCTCATGCAATGAACAGCTTTCCAGTAGTTGCAGACAGAGCAAGGTTTTAAAAGGAGAGATTAATTCTTTATTTCCAACACATATTTCTCCTTTCCTCTTACTAGCTCATTTAAGACACAGTATTTCTCCCATTGCTCTCCCATTGCTTTTACTGTTGCTCCTTATAGTTTAGCAAATTCTTCTCATTGAGTTACATGGAATGCTGACAAGATGACTTCAAATCTCACTTCCACTGTTTTAGCCCCACTCTTTTTTTTTTTCAAGCTACAGAGCAGCCTGTGCTGAGTTACTCAGCAGCTGTTTCACTGTCCTTCCAGATAGCACCACCATTACACTTATTAATGCTGTATGTTAGAACATCTGGTGCTCCAGAAAACATTTTGAATAGGCAGCAAGATCACCAAATCTCACATACTGTTTGGGTGAAGTTGACACAAGCAGTTGGCAGTAGGCTATCCTGCATGAAATCCTGCTTTAGGGTAAGCAAAATCAAAATGACTACTGAGAAGGAAAAATCAACCGATAAGAAATTGTTAGTTTATTCAAGGCAGGTAGTAGCAATGTGTTATCTGTAACAACTAGTCATCACCTAAGATGATGACCTAAATTTTTATGAAGTTAAAATGCATTGCAATGCAAATACTAGTAATTGATTCTTCAGTATTTCAGTCAAACTTCAACAATTTTAATACAAAATAAAACTGAAGAGTACTCTGCAGAAAATTCTCTGAACCACTTTTTAGAGTCAAGCTCATCCCTCAAATCCTTATTTAGACAAAGCACTCAGCAAGCAGAAACAACTGCAGAAACTCCTGCTTCTGGTGACTAACAAAGACTTCCACATGCCACGTCCCTTCCTATATATATAGTCAAGATTGCCATGTTCAGTTCATTATTAACAATAATCAGAGGGTTCTGACAGCATAGATTACTTTTTAATTTTTTCTTTAAAGAACAGCCATCAAGATGTTCAGGACAGTATTCCACTACAGAGTCAAGAGAAGTACAGCAAAACTTCTGGAAAAATGCAGCCTATGCACTTGCAAAGCTCTGCATAAGAAACAGAATTCCACAAGTCAGGACTTACAGACATCCATTTTTAAGCTTACAGCTCAAGTACTATATTAATGCAGTCAGTTCAGTTGAAGTTCTGCATTGCATTGAGAATAAAATATAATAGTTTTCTTCTTGATTCTAGAGGAAAAGCAATGCACATACATGCATGCATGCAGCAAGTTCCAGAGTCCCATCTTGGTTAGAGTGGAACTAGTCATCAGGCTGGACACACCAACTAAGAGGAAGGTTAGTTCTCCTATCTGTTTCATTAGACTGAGTTTCCAGGATATGGGGAGGAAGATGTCCTCCATGCTTGCTGTTTTGGTCCTCCATGAAGCAGATGGTTGGGGGAAACTGACAAAGGGACAAACCAGTCTGTTAGTGGGCAGAGAACAATGACTCATGAAGCGACAAGTGGAAAGGAGATTGGTGCCTGTATAGTGATTCCTCCCAGGCAGAGCTCCAAATATACATTTCCAAGTTTTGTTTTGCTTGTATAATTTAGTAGCAAGAATTATAAGTCATAACTTATACACCTTTCACCTTAGAAGTCCACAGATTTCAACATTCCTCATCATAGGTACAGGAAAAGAGAGATTCAGAGATCAAAAAGCTGAAAAAGTAGTAGGTGTAGTGGACTGCAGACTACAAGCAAGTTAAATCATTAGTCAGAATCCTGCCTGACAATGTAAAAGCTCTTCAGGTCCCTTGATTAGTAACTATTGGGTCAAATTACTATCAGAGCAAAGAACAGTCCTATTCTCAAATTATTTGAGCCATACTGCAACCAAAAATGCTCACTGATGATGTATTTGTTGTTCTTTTGAGGCTTTCTCCTTTTTCTTTTTTTTTCATATGTTTTGCAGCAACTATTTATAACATCAGGCAAACTGAGTTTCAAAGTCAAGATTGTGGATTGGAAAAAGGAAAATAAACTTCTAGAAATGCTGGAATTCACTGTAAATTGTCCCACAAAGAGCTTCTTACACATACAACTTGAAACAACTGGAGGAGACAGATATTCTCTGATGTATCAAGACCGTAAGATCATCAACTATTAACTAGAACAGATTCAGGCTACAGAGGTTATTATCTTGAGCAACTGAATTGTTACTAAGGACTGACTGACAAGAAATCTCCAGTGGTCTTTAGATAAATCTCTGGAACAAAATTTTAATGTTAATTTGCTATCCAATCCGAAGCAACCAATGCATCCATTAGATGAAGACCATTATATATGCTGTACAATCAGTGTCAGTGGATACCTTTCCTCACTGAGACAGACAGTGAAAAGAAAATCCCTGAAAAACAGCCAAAAGAATTCTTTTATCTTTAACATTAAAAAAAAAAAAAAAAAAAAAGACAACAACAAAGAAAATTCTATACGATGATTCTCTCAAATCTCAACACTCAAAGCCTATCAAACAGAGGCTCACCATGCCACTGTCACCTACCCATGGAGTGGGACCCATAAAGACACTTCAAGAACAACATCTTCACAGATTACAAGACCTCAAGACTCAAAGACCGGATCAAGGAGTGACACTAGGCAGTGTTGTATTGCCAACACCGTGACCCAGAATGCCTTGATGTCTTTCCCCAGTGACTTAGAAACACACTGAATAGCAAGGGTGATGCAGCAGCATACTAGAAGCCAGAACCTTGCCAAGCAGAAGATCAAGATCTCAACAAAAGCTCTGCATATAGGGAAGAATTATTTGTCAGCTGTATTTGCTAGCTCTGCCTGAGGTTGTAATTGCAGCCAGTTCAAAGCAACAAAAAAAGCCTGCACATCTAAGGGCTATATTAATTATCAAGACATGAAACCTTCTCCTCTATCATTACAAATCCAAAGCAAGTCTAAAATGTATCTGATAGCACCAAGTTCAAAAGCTCTGCTTCACATAGGTCAGCTGTCAATTCTTCTCATCCAATGCAGCAAGAAAATGCAAAGTTTTGTATGATTAATTAAAATTTATTTTAAACTACGGCTAGCAATGAACAATCCCCTATATTTGTAACATCAAAGGACAACTGTTAGTCACTAGTCTCATTCTGAATCCATAGGAATAGATTGACTACATCTTCACAGATCACTTTGAAATCCTACCAATAGAAAGACTCATGACTTCTCATTTCTGAGTGTTGGTTGTTGGGGAAAACAAAGAAACAAGCAAACAAACAAAGCTACCATGGATACATACATAATTTCATAAATTCAAAATGTATCTCTAATCATCCAGGCTGTGTTAGTTTATGCATCTTGAAAGGGGGCTTATACAGTTATATCAGTTTAATGAATTTGGAGTATTTGCCTTAATATCCATGTCAGCAGATGCTGTACCAACTGAGAAAGGGTGAACTGCAATGCTAATAAGAAGTGAACTGACTGCACTGAACTTAGTAATCCAACTCTAGCTCATTCACACACAAAGGAGACAAGATTAGCTGAGCAAACAGCTAAGGAGATATCCAGATAACAGCCATTTGGGGTAGAGATTTTGAAATATATTTATGGTAGTTCATTTTGAAGTTTCAGGTATGCAAGGAATAAATTAACCTGCAAGTCTTAAGAAAATAAGTTATGAATCATTGGAAGCATCCACATTTGGATAGGGTAGAGAAAAAAACCTAAGCACATTGCTGCCATTTCAGTTGTTAAGTCTTTCTTGATAGATACTCAGAAAAGCAATGGAGGCAAATGCTAGAGAGGTCTAAATATTAGCAGTATAATTGTTTGCAAAAGCCTGTACTTCCAGCAGGAAGGGAATTCATAGTTACCATAGCAGCCACCCACTCTCAAAAGAGGGGAGGAGTGAAAAAGGCAGGCTTAAGAACTTAGATGAAAAAGCTGTTGCTAACAAGATGCTAGGTGCACATTGCCTATTTGTATCTTTAAGCTGGTTTTGGTTTGTGCACAGCTGGCTGAAATGTCCAGGAAAGATTCTGTAAAAATCTTGCCCTCTCACCCAAACATTTCTGTTAAACAAATAGAAAGCATACTTTGTATCAGAAATTATATGCTTATGAAGTACTAGCTGAGTAGTATATGAAGGTCTTTATGTCCATGCTGTAAATAACTTCTGTACCACTGTTCATACAAAGACTGGGCTACTGTTTAAACATTCTACTCCAGTGAATAATGATGAGAAAGTTGTTATTCAGAGCCAACTTTCCCAATAAACATCATGACACTGTAAGGACATGACCCTAGATACTGGAACATTGCATTTCTCTGCCTGGTGTGTAACAAACAATATTTTTAGCAGCAACAGTGCAACTGGATTTGAAAAAAAGAAAGTAGAAGAAAAAAAGACTGCCAATATCGCATCAAGGACCTAAATGTGTAGGCTAGCAGTCAGCAGATACATCACAGTAATTAGTTCATCAGGCAGCCTACAAGAACAACTCATCAGTCCTGTCAGCAGTTTACAGTGCTTTAGTTAAATGATGACGCTGTCATGCATCACAGTGATACACTAATGACACAGGATATATCCTTTTCTGCTGCTACTGAAAGACTATAAAGTCATGAAACAGATCACACCAGCTTCCAATTTTGATGTTGTTAACTGATTATTGATCACAGACAACGTAAGTTTTGCATAAAGCACTGTAGCTCTAACAAAAGCCATGATACTAGGTATTAAGTCTTAGTAATTGCCTACTTTTTATTTTTTAAATGTATCAATACTGGTTTCCTTTCTGCTCTGCAGTGCTGAACAGTTGGGTTCCTTCAGTTTTCTGTGACTCATGGCAACAGTGGAAATCCAACTTTACAGATGGATGAGAAAAATAGGAACAATTAAAATGTAGAATGCTGAACATTTTCTAAAATAGTTTGCACCAAATTTGGATGTACAGTTCAGCAAAGCAAAGCCTCAAATATCTCCCAAATAAAGATGATACTATTAGCAGTCTTAAATTTAACACAAGTTAGAACAGAATACTATATTGCTCATCTCTAATTTGCAGCTAACACCTTCCTGAGCTAATTGTTAATCTAAATCTCCAAGAAAGCATTGCCCACAAGGAATTTAAAGTAAACACTACTGTCAGGGATGCAGATTTTAAGCACTGGCACTGAAACCATACCGAGAAGCATGGCGTTGGTGCACTGCCACATATCAATTATCAGCTGGCATGTATCAGCTTCCAGATCAATCAAAAATTAAAAGTCAGCTCATTAAATATGTATGTTCAAAATTTATGAACACTCACATGTGTCTACATGCATATGCAGACACACACCAGTATTCACATACTGAAGGAATTGAAGGGCTGACTCCTGACCATAGGCACACACTTGCCCTACTCCCCACTGACACCATGAGGAAAGCCTTGGGCTCTTCCAGTGGGCTACAAAGGCCTGTGGCTGCAGGCCCAGGTCAGCTGGAAGATTTCCATAAGGGTGCCCCAAAGAAAATTTGGTGAAGAACACGTGCTGCTGCTGGCAGATGGAACAACCTGCACTCCAAACTAAGCCAGAGAGCACTGCACTGAGCTACCTGAGCAAGGTTCATTCCTACTGCTCTCACTTCTGAACTAACTCAGCAGCAGCTCTGATGCCACCCAGCAAACAGCAGTTTATCCCAGCCCTACTCATCAGTCAGCGTTACAAAGAAGAGAGGGAAGAAGGGCTGGATTGTCTTGTAGCCCCTTTAAATGCAGAATAAGAGCCAAACTCACTGCAAGAGAACTGCAGTACCTATAGATATCAGTTCTGGTACCTGTGGATATACATGGTTCCTAAGGAAACTTGTAGAGATCAGACATTCTCATACGTCTTCTGCTTCACCCCACCAACAAATACTGCCACATGCAATTCCACTAATTTGAACTGGGTTAAAACGGAGGAAGAGATTACTACCAGATGGTTACAGACAATCCTTCCCCCCTTCTTTTTGCCACACAACAGAGCCTTCTCCTAGATTGTCTAGAAACAGGGAAAAAGTAAACTGAGAACCTGGTTATCCTAAGTTTATAACCATTCCTGAACAATTTATCCTCTCTCAGCATGGTCCTATACATTTTATTTTATTTTATTTTAGCTTTTAAGGCTTACTACATCTGCAAGGAGAAGTATACCTGTAAGTATACCTGTAAAAGTATACCTCAGAATTAAGTCCAATGAACCAAATTCTCAAAGCTTTCACAGTAACACATAGAAGGATTACGTAGATAAAATTGATCAATAGCTGTCTTACCTTCCCTCCATTCTTCCCCTCCCAAATAGTTTGAGTCAATATTCTCTCAAAAATACAGTGATATTAAACAGTACAATATACTTACAGCCAGATACATAGCTGCATATATGCTTAGTGCTGCTTCTTTGGATGGGAATGTCTTTCTGGCTTTCATGATAAGGTCTGGGTTTCCAGTACAGGCATGTGCACTACTGATGAACTGTGTATACTGTTTACATCCAAGTGCTGTATAGTTGGGTTTACAAAGTGCAAGAAAATGTGGTGCAAGATTCCCTGTTACTACTTGTCCAGCATTTACAAAGATGTCCGTAGCAAACAGTCCAAACGCGTAAATTCCTAAAGAGGGAAACAAAGAGTTAAATTTCCTGACAATTTCAGTCCAGCACAACATATTATAATATTTATCACAGTAATTAATCAGCTCCCTTCATTTAAGAATATGAACGATCCTCAAGCACATAGGGACAAGACCATACCCTAAAGATCCTTCATGATGTTGGAGATGATATCTTCCTATCCAATGGCGGAAGCAACGCTGCAACATACTCATGCTCTTGATTCTATCTCCATTCCTCAGAGGAGTACACTCATCTTTCATGAAAAAGCCTGCTTTCCTGGTTGCCCAGCCATGCATGCCCATCTATCCGGGGCAGTTAGCCAAACATCTAGTCTTTGCCCACATTCACTTAATAGAAATAACAGAAGCACATTCTCCACCCTATAGCCCTGTTTGAAAGCCAGACAAGTCAAGCACTGAATGGTGAAGTAACTTGAAAAGTCACCTCACATACTGGACAAACATTTTCCTTTCTCTCTCAGCTGTAAGTAAGTTGGAATACTGAATAATTTAATATTGCCATGCAAAAGTTGTCTTTATCTGCCTGCTATTGGGCACATCTCTATGCACAACATGTTAATCATAATATCAACACCATGAGTTAAAGATCCTTATATTCAAGGAGCTACTTATACTAACGCTTTTTTTTTTTTAATCAGACACATCAGCAAAGCATTAAGTATGTGTATTTGTTCATAAGAATAAAAATGCATTTATTTGATTAGTGGAAAAAGAAAGCAAAATTAGATAACCTATTCTGATGTCTTTTTCTGGTTTTTTTGGAAGCAGAAAGCAAACTCTGGAAGAAAATACAATCACAGCAACCACCCTGACTGGAAAGCCAAATCAGCAGATATATTCAAACTCTACCTTAGCTACAGGATTCCTGGATTCCATGGGCAAATCAGTTTACCTTTCCCCTAGTTCAACTAGCCAGCTGTGAGTATAATGTGAATTCTGGCAGTTCCCAATTCACATAGCACCATGAGGATGAGTACATTAATGGACACACACCACAGCAGATGTGATACCACAGAAGCATGTGCATCTTTCAAGGCCAGTTTTTTTCCCTCTGCAAAGCTAGAGGCCCAAGAATGGTTTCTGGGATTCTGTCTGGTCAACAGTGTCACACTAATGTTGATTCACCATGAGTAACTCAACAGTCATGAGCACTGGCCTGTACCCAGTCCAGGTGCTGTGCAGGATGGCCCTCCAGCAAGCCCCAAAGTGTGTGCAGACCCACAACAGGCAGCCACATCACTTCTGTGAGAGTAACATGAAGTGACACCTCGTCTGGTGCAACAGTGCGGAAGCCATATTCGTCCCTGCCCTACCCACCACATTTTGGCTTCACTTCTGTGAGCAAGGAGAGCCCACCAGGTGGGCTCTGGCCACACACAACCCCTGTACAGAGCAATAGGAGCAGGAAGAGCTCCTCAGTATGACCGCCCACATACTCCAGCTCTATGCAGGGCAGTCTCCCACTCAATGACTCCAGAACTCCCATGTGACAGTAAGTAACTCCCGTGATGCTGGCAGACGGCATCACGGCTGTGGCACAGGCACAGCACACAGAGACCCAGCTGCAGCCCTCTCTCCCCTGCATGGAGGCACACGGGATGAGCTGCCCTGCAGCTCTGCTCCCCAGCTGCTGCCCTCAGATACAGCCAAGAGGGAGAAACACACAGCAGACAAATGGAGTCTGGCTGCAACATCCCTGCACATACTAAAAAGCAGCATCTGTGAGTATTTAGCAGACATTCTGAGAGATGGTACTTCCCTCTCCAAAATACATTTACAATGAAATGAGTAGAAAGCACATCATCTCAAATTTAGCGAAGTCAGGGGAGGTGGGTTTTGCAGCTGACCTCAGTGGTTTTCATACAGTTATCTATTATAGATGATAATACATGCTCCAGGCTAAGAAAGTACCTGAACTAGGCAGGCTTTGAAAACACACAATTATACACTAATGTCCTCAGCTTTGGCTGCTGTATGTGTTCATAGCCAAAAGAGAACTGTTAACTACAGATTTGGTTAAAGATACTTCCCCTCTCCATCTCCCACTAGTCAAGGCCTGCTGGTTGGTTTTTTTTTTTTCCCCTCTTTTGTGATCCCAAGTTTTTCTGTTTTTAGTACTGTTTCCGCAAAGCAGTTTTTGTTTGTTTCTTTGTTTTAAATCAGACTTCCAAGACACTTAATTCGCTGTCCCAAAGGAAAGAATTGCACCCAAGTTAGGACTATACATGAAATATTATAGTGTTATCTGAATAGTTTCTCCAAGTCAAACTTAAGACATATTTAATCACTTTCAGCATTCAGAAAATGAAAACATTAATTTTGCTCATACCAAGGAATCTGATGGTTCTGCGCACCAGTGGATTTATATAACAACAGTCTCCAGTTAATATTGTTTTTTCTTGATTTTCAAAATCCTTTGTAGCTAACTGTAGACAAAACACTGCGGTTTCTCCAACGATAATCTTAGGGGGAGGAGAAAAAGGGGAGAGAAATGGTACATCAGATTACAGTATATAAAATATACTAATATTACAGAGTTGGCTATCTCATCTTAAGGAAACAAACCAAAACAAAAGACAACATAAGTGAAGCAAGTTCTGTATGTTAATCTTCTTACGAGGCAAATAGGCCATATGACCCTCTTGACTTTATTTGCATTGAGAGGGCTTGAAATCAACATAACATAGCCTAGTTTTCAGGATGAGGGGAAAAACAAAGAAAAGTATTAGTTCAAGAAAAACAAACTGCACAATACACAGGATGGGAATGAAAGTAAGGGCCAATCCTGGAAGATGCTCAGCACTTCCCCCCATGGCTCTCACTGACAGTCAGCATTTCACAAGGGTGAACTCTAGACTTCGGACCACAGAGGAAACATTCACAGCAGAGCTCCAGCCCACACTGAAGGAATGGTTTGCCAGTAAGTACTCTACAGGATTTGATTCATAGTTTGCTAACTAAGTTTATTAAGTCTGACTTTAATTATTTTGTCTATAGCTCAAACATGTTACACTTAGAGAAAATTAAAAGGGCTCACAAATAAGAAAACAAAAATGTAGACACTGAATGTAAAATATTCCCTATAAGACATGTATTTAGCTGTAGAGGAAAATGTGACTCCTAATTTACTTACGACAGTTATTCCACTCAGCTCTACTGCCAACTACATGATTGAAAGAGGCATAGAAGAAATCACTATATTTCAACTTTCATTCACTGCAAAACTTAAAGGAAAGGCATTTTCTCTCTTCTATATGAAAAGTAGCAAATATTATTGATACCTCAAGGTACATAACACTTGGATAATCAGGAACGACAACCAGCAAATTAAAATGTTGACATTGCACAAACTCAAGAAATATTGTTGTCAAATCAGACAACCACCTAGGTCTTCCTAAACTTTTAACTAAAAGAAAATTATAAATTTTGCCATGTATTACTATAGATCTAAATAGTTCTATACACAGCACCGCACAAAACAAAGAACACACAGTAAAACAGTTTAGTTTTTAGTTTAAAGAAAACTATGGACTTCAGCTCATATACACATTTTGTTGTCAACAAGAAGAATGCAATTAATGGCCTTACTTAGATATTATTAGGCCTATGCAGATGACTTTTAGCTAAATTATGACATACAGAGGAAGGAAGTGATTCTCATAAATAATGTGGCAGAAATAACAAAATAATTCTGCAGTTATGTGTAACAGGCAAAATTCAGTTTGTCACAAAAACGCTCATCTTTAGACTAGTTTCAGATCACTGTGGCCTCTTTAGATGAAACAGAAATGTGAGCAGCAAGTAACCATTTTACTACAATGAAAGAAAATCTTCAGCATACTGAAGTACAATTCCTTCATCTGTAATTAACGAACTCTCAGTATGCTTATGAAACATAACCCAATCTTGAATTCGAGTTCATCAAAGTTGTGACAACAATAAGGAATCAGCCCAATGACTCCTACAGGTCTCATGAGAAATGCAACAAAACAAATAAAAAACAATTCTAATGCAATTCATAAAGTTGAGGAACACTAAGGTTTTTCTGGTGAGTCACACTAATTTCCTCCTTTCCTCTGGAATGATGAAACATCCAGGCTTAGGTAACCTGAACATTCTGTATTTATCCGATTTTTTTTTTTTTTTCCAAATCTAATAATTTCAGTGAAATTACTTCATATTTTCAGACTCGAGGAAAAAGCAGAATCCAGCATATATACGTGATTTATAAGGGCTGCTCCAAAGCTAATGCCTCCTATTTTATTATGCTGGCCCACAAAATCAGAGGCAGAAGTTGGTGGGATGACTTCAAAGATGGCATCTTCCCACCGATATTCTACATTTTGCTGTCACATGACAGATGACAACAGAGGGGTAGAGTTGGACAAAACTGAGTCTGACATGGAAGCGTGCATGAAGCAAAGGTGCCACTGAATTCCTCCATGCAGAAAAAATGGCACCCATCACCATTCATCTATGCCTGCTGAACATTTATAGAGATCAAACAGTAAATGTGAGCACAGTGAAGCAGTGGGTGCTGCACTTCAGCAGTGGCAACAGTGATGTGAAGGATGAGCTGTGTTGCAGATGGCCATGCACAGCTGTCACACCATTAAATGAAGAGCATCTCAATCAGTTCATCTGTGCAAATCAGAGGATTACAGCCAGAGAACCGTGTACAGAGCTGAATATCAGCTTTAATGCGTTGGAAACAATGGTGGAAACATTGGAATATCACAAAGTCTGTGCCAGGTAGGTCCCACAAATGCTCACAAAGGAACAGAAAGAACACAGTATGCAAATAGATCAGGATGTATTGAACCAATATGAGGCTGAAGGTGACAATTTCCTGGATTGCATCATTGCCAGCAACAAGATGCGTTGTCACCATGAGCTGGAGTTAAAATGGCAGCCTATGGAGTGGCAAGTATGGATTCCCCATCAAAGTTCAAGATGCATTCCTCAGTGGGTAAAGTGATGCGCACTGTCTTTTGGAATGGGAAACGGGTGATCTGTCTGGATTTTTTGGAATCCAGACAAACCATTAACTGTGCTACATCGCAACACTGACTAAGCTGAAGGCTCAACACTCCAGAGTCAGGCCAGAGAAGAGGACAACTCATCTCTTGTGACATAATGCCAGGCCCCATAACAGTTTAAAGGACATGGAGTACATCATCAATCATCAATAGATTGTCTTACTATACCCACGGTATAGTCTCAAATTGGCACCTTCTGACTTCCTTCAGTTTGGGCTGATGAAAGACAGACTGGGAAACATCTTCATAGCAACAATGCTGTCACAGAAGCTGTCAAACAGAGGGTCATCTCTGCTGGTGCAGATTAGCAAATGGTAGTGACTGTGTTGAAAAATAGGGTTTTGTAGCTGAGAATTTGCTCTATTAAACAGTGTTGTGGTGCTCTTCGTATCTATTGTATTTGCCATGGAAATAAATACGAGGCATTAATTTTGGAATGACCTACGTACAATGCTCAATCTCTTGCAAGAACATAAACAAAAAATACTCCAGCAAGCTGAACTCTCCAGTTTTGGGCAGACTCTCTGAACCTGCTGATCACAAAGGCTCATATTTCTGGCTTCCATGGAAGCTGGGATAGCAAATAAGACAGCTGCTCATTCCGTTATACAAAAGGAGAACATCCCTTCCAACACCTTGTCTTCATCAGCTTCATCTGTGCCCTTGCTGCTAGCAACCATTTCTACTTATTACATTCCCCACTTTTGATGATGACCTGGATGAAGAAAATTCACTGCTCCAAAAATTGCAGGGAGCAGCATTCACATTCTCAGCTGAATGAAAATGCTCTTAGAGAGGGTACACAGGTGCAAGGGTCAGAACAGTGAAGAATTCAGCAGTGACTAAATATTTGATATAATGGGCTAGTGCTCTATTCTCAGAAGTAATGTGAGTGGGATATGCCACTGAGCACAACAGGCATTTATCTTCATGCTCCTGTGGCTATTGTTTGATAGAATCCTTCTGGAATTTGGCAATAAATACAGATTCTGTGTTTTTCTGTACTGGCAGCTCAGGAAAGCAATTCTCCCTTCCTCCATCCTTCTGCACAAGTGCTGCTCATCTCAGTAATCAGTCTAATGATATTTCAGAAATGGAAGGAAAATCTTCAGCCTCCGTAAGTCCAAGGGGACCTTTCTCCTCCTTCTCTCTGGCACCACTTTTCTCAACAGCATAAAGGAAAGGAACAGCTCTCTCCTTCTCGCATTTTACCAAGACTCATATACATGGTATATTTCAGGAGAGAATAATTTCTGTATCTTCTTGATTGCAGAGACCATCACTGTCCCTTGCACTCCATGTGGGAGTCACAACAAGTAAACAAATGGCATTTAAGGCAGAATTACTTGTGCATTTCTTCATTAAGTCTTTCCCCTGACCAGTAACAATACAAAATGCAGTACTGGATATGTACTGAAACAGGCTGCCCAAAGAGGTTGTAGAATCTCAGTCTCTGGGGGGATATTCAAACCCCACCCAGATGCTTTTCTGTGCAACAACTCTAGGGAACCTGCTTTAGCAGGGAGTTGGACTAGATGACTTCCAGGGCCCCTTCCAACCCCTATGATTCTGTACATATGTTTATACAAATAATTTTCCCAGTCCTTAAATAAAAATGCAGTTTACATAGCTGCTACAAAAAACAACAACAACAAACACCAAACCAAACCAAAACCAAACCAAAACAAAAAAACGCAAGACAAGAAGGACCAACCAACAGGCACTGGTCCAAGTGCTGATAGGCAGAGGCCACGTCCCGATCCTACTGCAGCTTCCCTGCGTGACTGTGGAGAACACTTTTAGACTCGGTTCACAGCATGAAGAGTAATAGAAAGAATACAAATCATCCTAGATGAAGATATTTAAAATTAATATATGCTACATTACTAGCATTCAGATTATCCTCTCTTTTTATGAAAGCATGGAAAATAAGAACTAAGCAGAAACAGAACAGAAAATCTAAATCATGGAAAAAGTTCTCCTAATCATCTCCATGGCAATCGTACCCATTCTGTGATGTGCCAACCCTTTCATCAGACAGCAATTCAGTTTGGAAGGAGTGAGATCTGATATCTAAAATTAATACTTCTTTCACCTCTGGCTCCTGATTAACTAACTTATTAGCTGATATATTTCTATGATGGTTTTGGATTAGCAATATCTGTCTCTTTCCTTGTTTATGCATAGGATGCCTGCAGCATTTAGCACACATTCCTATACTGATTTCTTCCTCCCAAATATGTTCATATTTTTTCTGTATTAGTCATTTTTAATCCAGGCAAACTGTTCCCAGTTTTAGCACTGCATGTCAATTTAAAAATCTGATTTCTCCTTCCCAAAATCATCCTTCCAGTACAGTCTTAACTTGGTTCTACATATCCTGAGCTTTCTCAACTTGAAATGTCAAGCCTTACTCATTCCAA